ATCTTGAAAACTGGCCCAAGGATGCTGGTTTCTTTTCTTTAGTACTAAAGATCCATATTGTTGCATTATTATCATACATAACGATAATAATTAATTTATTAAATCTCCCACTGAGCATAAAATGCCTCTTGCTTTTGAAACAAACTGGAAGCTTCCCCCATAATTGGAAACCCAATGCCGAGTCTAACTTAGAAGGATAATTGGTCATTGAGATTGAGCAGGTCTTTTGTTTCAGATAACTGGAGTAGCTCTTCATTCTGCCAGGGCTAAGAAAGGTTTCTCCAATTTTGCACCATTAGAACTTGTACAATCCAAATGTCTAAGATCAACCCCAAATTGTGGCTCTAATGACACCCTGCACCTATTGACAGGCTTTATGAGGGTAGAGTAGCGGGTAGAGTGGGATGGCCATACTCACCTATTGGCTCAGACTATCCTTTTTTTTCCTCTTAGCTTTGCCCCATTAACTATGAGTGATGGATTTTTTCAATCCACATGGAAACAGGCTTTGGCAACTAATATCTCAACCCTGAGCTTCTATCCAGATCTTCTATTCAGCACAGAATATGGCCAAAGCACTCATTAAACAGCATGTAGCAGACACCGAGGGACAATTGGATCTAGTCACAACCCCAAATTTATTGGCAGTGAACAGGTATTCTAGCTCTCCTGTGGCACATCCAAACACTTAAGGGGTTTTACTCATGCACACTGTCAGGCCTTCCCTCAACTGTCCTTGATGAGCAATACAGGGAAATTATTGACCCAGAGAAACAATGCCTCTGTGACTCTGGACACCTAGAAACAATACAACATGTCCCTCTCCAGTGCCTGTACTACATCCATATAAGTCTCATCTCACTTTTTGTTCTTTTTACAACCCTGTAGCTTCTTAATTCAAGATAGGATCAGGGCAACTGGGTGGAGCTGAGCATTTACTAGCCAGATACCCTTCCTGATGCCTACTTGGAGCTTGCAGCATATGGTCATAGGCCATTTTGAATGGTACACAAATGTGATTATATCCCTATCTGTCTATCAATAACAGATTGGTCTGAATGCCAAGCTTCTGGAAATTCCCTAGCATTTTTGGATTTTGCTTGATGTTCACAGTTTCCCAGTTGAAACTTTGGTTCAATCAAACCATGTGTTATGAGATTAAGATCTTTTCATTGTGTCTTCTAGCTGCTGGTTGGTGTTCATGTTCATACATTCTGCTAATTTTCTGTCTGTCTATCCTATGTAGTGGCTGTTATACTTCCTACACTGAATACTGTAGATGGTCTTCTGTTTTTCCTTCTTGGGCTATTGGGACTTTCAGTTGTATGTGTGGAAATGCTGTACTTTCTAGATGCTACATTACAGTCTCTGCTGTGAGTCCTGAGAGTGGTAATCCCATAGTTGTTCTTCTGATTTCTTGGTATATTTGTCCATTAAACTAAAAGTATTTAGTGAGGGAGAGGCTGGTGAGGTCCATTATTCTGGTATTTTAATCTTAGTATATTTGGCTAGGTTGGGTATGTTTTGTAGTACTACTGCCATGGATTCTTCAGCTCGTTCCAGGTCTATGGACACGAAAAACACTGCATGAAACCATAATTTCATTTTCTTCTATTTTTAGGCCTTTGATTTTCTGGAGGCACTGAGCAGGAGAATTGATAGAATATTCATTTCTCTCTTTAAAATGTTCAAACTTTTTTGTTAAGTGCAGACTTTTTGGAAGAAGATTAACCAATCATTCTAGAATTTGTCAATTTCTTTTCCACCAGACTGCAAGGTCTTTACAGCCTCACTACATACAACCCAGCAGAAAGAGTTTTGTCTACATATTTTGATGCATTATTGATTACTCCTTGAATGTACACTTTTTGCGTATTTTAAAATATTATAGATTTTAGAACAATTTTATTGGAAGTACATTTTCTGTGTATATGCTTTTATAAGAAAATAGTCCCATGCTTATTTTTCTTCACACGTATGTATTTGTGTTTGTTTGTGTGTGTGTGTGTGTGTGTGTGTGTGTGTGTGTGTGTTAGGAAGTGCACTCAATATTCTGAAGTCGGGGTCTATGATACATATGTATTCCAAGTCCTCCTATGCCTTCAGCATGTCCATCCCAAAACAGCATATTAAAATGCCATTCATCTCTATTTGAAAATTTGTCAAGACTTGTTGCTATTAACATACCAGGTAATGTTAAAACTCATAAATGAATTATCCTCTGAGTGGATTAATTTCATCTTTCATCTATCCTAAATAGATTTCATCTCAATTATATTTAGACCAGTTGCAGTCTTTCAGAACAGTTTCCTTGTGACTGTGATATTTCCAAAAATTATCAGAATGCTTCCTAAATTATTCTATAATTAAATATATTTTAAAAACTAATCACTACATTTTTTAAAAATAACACTGTAAATGTTTGTGACTCTGCTTATTTCAGATCTTGGAATTCAAGTAATCATCTCCATCAAATCTGTTTGTATGATTCATTTTATTGCATTATTTGCATTTTTTTTAGTTTTTCAAAAAGCCATCATTTGCGATGTTATTCTACTACTTGTAAATATGGTGAGTTCTACAATGTTCAGTTAGCTCAGTAGACATGTTTTACAGATGATTTTACTTTGCAAATAAAAGAACAGGAATGTTGTTATCATTTTTTTTTTTGTAAAGAGAAAGGTAACATTCTTAGAAAATTAATACCGATACCAGTTTTTACTAGTTTTGTAGAGTAACTCTGAGGAAATAGTTTTATGGGGTGATCTTTCAAGTTTCACACCACAGAAAAGTTACTGGAAATTTTACTTGTTAATAGCAAATTCATTTTTGATTGCTAAAACTTTAAATTGCAAGCATCACCACACCCTCAACACAATAGGGAAGCATCAGCAGCCCAAGTTTGGAGAAACATAAAAAAGGATCTGTATCAGGGGTGGGATTCTACCAGTTCGCACTTATTCACTAGAACTGGTTGTTAACATTCTAAGCAGTTCAGAGAACCGGTTGTTAAAAGAAATTACTGGCCTAATCCTGTAACAAAGGCAGGAAGGAAACATTCTGGTGTTGCTTCCAGAAACTGCCTCTCCGTTAACCCTTATTACATTCTTGGCAGGAGTAGACTTTCTGTCTCAGGAACCTCTCTGGAGATTTCCCCCCCTCCTTTGCTGGTACTTTGCTTGTGTGGAGTGACTATTCAAAGTTACAATGGCACTGAAAAAAGTCACTTATGACCATTTTTCACACAACTGTTGCAGCATCCCCACAGTCATGAGAGGCCAGGCAAGGAGATGCATGCCTCGATGTGAGTGATATTGAGTTGGCCACACCCAGCCAATAACATGACCACCAACCCATGTCCACCCAGTCACATGACCACCAAGCCACGCCCACCAATAAGCCATGCCTACAGAACCGGTTGTTAAAGAATTTGAATCCCACCCCTGAAATGTATGGAATAGATGCATGTTCAACTGTCCACAGGAAGCTTGCTAACTGATGGATTGGGACTGAGGATGGAAAAACAGGAGAATGGAAACTGGCTGGGCAAGCTGGCTGGGATCCTGAACAGGGTAGTTCCTGTTTCCTGAACCAGATAGTTCCCATTTCCATCAATCTAGTAAATATTTGAATACTGAAGTAAGGAAAATCTTTGTTTAGATAGAATTCCCCCGCACACACACAATTATGCAACTTGCAAACATGCTTACAGACCCTACCCACACCCACTGCATCTTGAGCCCAGATTATACCAAAGATTGGTGGGGATATGATAACAATTAGATATGCTCCATTATTGCAACCACTTATTTTTTTATCAATGAAGAATGGGAATCCATTTACCAGAGATGACACAGCCTGTCATGTAGCAGTGGTTTCAATTCATGCCTTCAAATTTCAAATTTAGTTCTCCACCTACCAATCCACTTTAACTCTCATAAAGTTCATCATGTACCATTAACTATAATCACCCAACAATCATCCCTTAGATTTTGTTCTCCTTATTGTTTCTATAGATTAAACAACAAATTTAACATTTTATGTGATTCCTGCAACAGGAGATTATCATTCTTAGTATAATAATATCCCAGGTACAAACTCAGATTGGGACATAGCTAGGATTCACTTTGCTGAGGTTTTCTCTCCCTCTCTCACAGAAATGCAGATTTTGAGGAACAGAGAAAGAACTGAAATAAGCCGGCAGTTTTTGTCCTTCCAATAAATCTTTTCAGAGCAGCTTTGATCTCCATGTTTCTAAGAGTGTAAATGAATGGATTGAGCATGGGAGTCACCATTGTGTACATGAGAGAAGAAATCATGTTCTGTTCTGGACTCCTGGAGTTTGGCTGCAGGTAGACCCAGCAGAGGGTGCCATAGAAAAGGGTCACCACACCCAAGTGAGAACCACATGTGGAAAAGCCTTTTGTTCCCCGTTTGTGGATGGGACTCTTAAGAATGGTGCAGAAAATGCAGGCATAGGAGATCACGATGAGGATAAATGGGCCCAATACATCCACATAGCTCTCAATTAGAGAAATTGTTTCTATAACGCTTGTGTCTGAGCATGCCAGACGTAACAAAGGGAAGAACTCACAGAAGAACTGGGGGATCTTCTTAGAAGAACAGAAAGAGAGGGGGAACATTATCAATGTATACAGCACTGAATTGAGGGATGCCAGGAGCCAACAGATCGTCACAAGTAAGAGGCAGCGCTTGTGGCTCATCCGTGTGGCATAAAGCAGTGGGTGGCAGATGGCCATATAGCGGTCATAGGCCATCACAGCCAAAAGATAGTTGTCTGTGTTGGCAAAAGTCATGTAGAAATGCATTTGCATCAAACAACCACTATAGGAAATAGTCCTGACCTGGAAGAGAAGGTTTTGCAGCATCTTGGGGACAGTCACAGAGGCAAAGCCCACATCTGCCAAAGAAAGATGCTTGAGGAAGAAATACATGGGGGTCTGCAGAAGGTGAACATCCGAGGAAATCAGCAGAACAATCAGTAAATTTCCCAGGACTGTCAGGAGATACATGGATAGGAAGAGCAAGCCCAGAAGGTGTTGATGCTCTGACTGGAAGGAGAAATCCATAAGAATGAAATCTGATGAATCCGTGTGGTTCTGTTTTGCCATAACTCAACTATGGAAAAGAATTTAAAAAAAGATACAGAGATATGCAGCAGTTCACTCAGAAGAATCCCACGTTGAATGTGACCAAAGGTAGAAACAGAGAAAAGAAGCAAGACAAGCCATAATATGTGTGCTGGACTCCCTCCTGCCTCATTTCAATAGGTAAGGTAAAGGGTTTTGAGACAAAGAGTGAATCAGGCACACCTGAAGGCACCCACCTTGCCAAAACAAAGCAAATTTGAATTTGATTGGTCCTTAGAAAATTGCTTCAGATTTTTTTCTGAAGACTGCAGGAGGCAGGGTTTTTTTTCACTCTAGAATAAACATTAAAAACTGTAGATGACATCAAAGCGAGTTTTATATGTTCTGCTTTGAGGTATATGATGAAAGACAGATGGGTCCGAAAAGCCCTAAAGAAAGCAATTGAAAGATGACTTTGTTTCTGTAAACGTTGGAAGCCACATTACAGGAGTATGCTCTAAAAGCATTTGTTCTTGTTGCTGACACCTAGTTAAATTACTGAATAACTTCATGTGGATCTGACAGCTTCATTTGTGTACCAGCCTACCTTATACGTGTCAGTGTTATCACTGAAGTCTTTTGTTACTTGAGTCCTCTGAACTAGAACATTATTGCTTCCTGGAGGAATTTACTTCTGGTTTAGCATTTACATTTAGAAATGAAGCCAGCTTTTAGGAAGACGGAGGAGGTTGGGGGGGAGGACTTAAAAAGGAAAGGCATGATGGCTCTGTGCCCTGATACAGATCGAACAGAAAATGACCTTACCTCATTCATTCCTGCTCAACCTGAGAATATGTTTCTTTGAGTCTTCTTTCCACAAATTACATCCACAATATTGGATCTCTCATTACACTATCCAAGATGTCTCCAAATGTAACTTTCGGCCCTTGTGTGTCACCTGGATGAGAAAAATAATAAAAGTAAATACATTTAATAATAAATAAACTTGGATATTTTCTACCTAATTGATTCCTTTCTTTTGGAGACAGCTTGATTTCTGTGTTGCATTTCATCTATGCTGAGTTAATCCATGGTTTGTTTATTTATTATTTATATTTCATTTATTTAGAAGTCATATTTATATATCCTATATAACTACAGCTATTCTGTAGTTGCTCTCAACGCTGACACTTCCCATATTAGAGCATCCAACTGAATTATTCTACCTCTCTGAAGGAATATATGAAAGGCAGGAGAGCAGATCAAGCCTATAAACCAGTAGTTTGTGATAAAGTCAAGCCAGGCACATTAAAATGTCATTAATTTCACATTGGTGTATCTATTTATCATATCACAAGAAGCAAAAGAACACAGAGACCTCTATGTAGAAAAGCCCAGGACATTTACAAACCCTTTTCCTATAGAGTAAGTATTCAGGCATCAGACAGTTCAAAGACTGCAGGCACCCATTAGGTTCTAACAAGTAAAATTCAGTTGCTAAAAAAGTACTGTGAACATGGGGGTAAAGAACACATATATTTGTAATGGTTCCTTTCAGTTAGAGGTTCTATTGTCTAATATAGTGCTATTACCTCTTTGCATTATTACCTCTGAAAATACTATATTAACAAGGAAAGAAGAAGATGGATGGCACACAATAGTGGCATAAGAGCTGCATTTTCTACATTACCAAAAAATATTCCCTTCCTATTCTGCACCTCACATGAGTTCCAGGCTGGAAGAACAACACATATCTAAATGCCAATGGATATTTCTATGGATGTTTCCCATATAATGGCTTAGGCTACTGGGATCTTGTTAGTTCTGAAATTGCATCTCTTAGGATTCCTCCATTTAGTCAAGAGTGAGCTATCGGAATATTTTAAACTAATACAAACAAAACCTGTAGTAGGTCAGAGTAGACTTTGATTGATTTTATGATTTCAGACTGATGAGAGGAGTCCACATTACAAAATAAACTAGCATGCTAGTGGGCTAAAATCCTATATCTTAATGGATAGATTTCTATGTGAAAGGGATGTTTTCTTATGAAGCATAATTCTACCATATAAACATCCATTGCAGTTTATAACAATATATGACCTACATGGAACAATCTCACTGTAAATTTGGCCTTTTTCCATTCTTGCCATACTTAGGCTGAATTTTTGTAGAAAAATAAACTTTGGAAGCAGTTCTAGGTAGGTTACAAGGAGCCTCCTAGACTTTGGTAGTTCTGGCAATTCATTTTAGCATCATTAGAATAAATGTTCTCTCTTTGCTAATAGATATCTTTACTCTCATGGAATTGAGACACTTATTGAAAATAGCAATTATGTTTAACTCTTTAGAACTTTCAAAACAGAGTGGAATCTCTGGTCACGAATGCTTCTGACCATGATCAAATTGGGTGTAATTTTTGCATCTGGTCGCGAACAAATACTCAGGTGGCAATCAAAGACAGCCATGCCAATTTCCCCTTCTGTGCCGATTTCCCCTTCTGTGCATGCACAGAATTGTAGGTGCATGTGCAGTCAGTCTCGCTTCTGGTCAGGGCCAAATCGAGTTCCGACCAAAGTTACAGAATGGATTACGGTCGTGACCAGAGGTTCCACTCTAGTTGCATTCATACTTAACCTCCCAAACCTCTAAAATATTGGGGTTTGAAGCTAGAAAAAAATCTTGAGAATATCTAATTCCTAAGAATAAACAAATGGTTGATGAAACAAATTGTAGTTCTCACTTGAGGTACAAATGACCAGGTTTATGTTATTCTATTTCAGTCCTAGCTTTCTGGAAAAGACTATAATGCTGGAAAGGTAGAAGGAAAGCGAAAAGGAGGAAAATAGGGATAGATTCCGTTTATAGCATTGATGAGTGCACTATTGGAAAACCTGAAAATTTGGGATAGATTGTAGTGGAGAACATTTATCTATGTAGTTACTAATAATGGACAATGACTTGATGGACAATGTACATTTATCTATGTGGTTACTAACTGTTATGTCTGGAAGGATGGGCCCAAGAACGGAGACGAGACTCAGAAAGTAACTACAGCTCTTTATTAGTGACTTCTGATCTGAGCGAAATAGCCTAGCCGCAGCAGCCCCTTTTATAGAGCTGGCTGCGGCTAAACGGCCAATGACAGTGATTCGAGCTTGCCGCGCTTGGTTTGCCCAATCACGGCAGCCCGTTTACTAGCCAATCGGATCAGTCTGGAGTGACCAATCACGACCCGCTGTTAGCGGACCAATCCGCTTTGCAGGCTTTCAAGTCTGCTAGTCCGGAACACTAACAATGGACAATGAGTTGACTTAAACAATCGATCAATCATAGTCATAAAAAAACAAATGGGCCATCAAACAAATAAACCCAGAGTTCTTACTCAAAACAAAAATGATCAAGCTCAAATTTTTATACTTCAAAAAAATTACGCAAAGATCTAACTCTCTGGAAAAGTCTATAATCCTGGAAAAGATCAAAGGAAAAAGAAGAGGACAATCAACAACAAAATAAATGGGCTCAATTACAATGGTGATGGATTCACCACTGGAAGACTTGAAGGACCAGGCCAGGTTGGAGAAAATCCATCCTTGTGGTTCCTAAAAGTCAACACCAAGTTGATGGCAATCAGTCAATCAATCAATCAAGGTATTAATGGGAATCATCAGCTGCATTCATGATTATCTCCATTTTTCACTTTATCTCCATGCCCAACGAGAAAGCCTTTCAGAATGCAAAAAGGGAAGAAATGATGTTTCTTTTGCTATTCACTACTTGTGGTATGGCCATAAATAGTGATTGATGAGTTAGTAAGGTTCCCACATGTCTGAAAAGCACATACTGTAATGTATACATAGATGTGAAACTGAGTGACCAATGAAGCAGTGAAAAAGGAGATGGGATGTGTCATAAACTCTGCTACACAAATAGGAGCTACCCAAAAAGTGCACACAGAGGCAGCATGGTGAATTGAATAAAAAGGGAAAAACAAACAGTCCAGGATTCATAGGGAATCAACTATCCTTGCTGTTGCTGTTCCCGCTGCTACTACTACTACTAGTAATAGTAGTAGTATCGCCCACCACCACCTTATATTTTTACTGACAAATTTGAGGGTCTTTTGTCTGTGTATAATTTTTCTGCTGTTTTTATAGATTAGTTTACATAGTATATATTATGTTATTGTTTCAATTTTCTATGTATTTCATTAAAAGTCAGCCTATTGATGGAAGGGAAGGGCAATGTTGTGATATAAAATATAATACTATAATTATAATAAAATAATTATAGTAAACTATTATAACAATGAAATTAATATCAGTAGTAGTAACAACAAATTGAAATAAAATTATATCATTATTAGTACATAAAATAATTTTATTTATTCTACCCACAATGGAGGAATGGTTGGTGAAGATGACAGAATATGCAGAAATGGCAAAATTGAGTTGCTTTAGGGAGAAGACTATAAATTATCATTCATTACACAATAATAAACATAATATAAGAACATTTATCAATGACTAGAAACTATGGACTTTTTGCTGAAAAGGGGGAGAAAATGAACTGTTGGTTTATGGATGATAAATGATTAGAAATCCATTTCTCTTTTCTTGTGGGATCATGTTGTCTGACCTGTGTTTGATCTCTATTCCTATTTACCTGTGCATATCCAAGGATCCAATTTCCTCCACGTAACATCTTCCAAGTACAAATCTGGTACAGTATAAACAATTTTCTTCATGCTAATTGTATTTAGTTTCTAAAACTACTGTAACTTCCTGGATTACACAGGAATTTCTGTCAGGTGTAAATTTCTGTCAGGTGTGAAAGATCAGGTCCATAGGTGAAGGTTCAATTGAACTGATTTATCGCTAATTGTACCTAAGCACAATAATCGTCCTAAACAACACTTAACACATGCTTGGTGTTAAAAAGGGTCAATAAAATTCAAGAGAAGTTGGGCTCTTTTGAAACAATGTAGAGATTCTAGGCTGATCCCTCTTTTAACTACATCCCCAGCAGAGGTGGAATTCAGC